AAAAAAAAAAAAAAAAAAAAAAAAAAAGCCAACTGTGAAATCCTTGCATGCATGGCTATAGCGTTCACTCATCGGGTAGAATGCAGAACAGGTTCTGTGCTACGCTACATGATTGTATCTAAATAAATGGTTTAACATATCAGAACGTAAATACTGTATAGCCACCAAAACGAAATAATGAGCCAGGTTGAAAGTACAAAATCCAATCATTTCAAAAATAGAGTGCTCTAAGTTGAAAGAGGCAAGGATGTTCGTTAATAGAATATGAACATCTAATTGTAAGCCGCATGCTACGCAAACATTTGGCAGCTGATACTTACAGGCTTACCAAATCCGGCAAAAGACTAATCTGGTCACTTATGTACCCTTTCAAGCCTTGACTGCCAAGATCTCTGAAACCAAAACAGGCATCAAGACTCGTTGTTGCATAAATCTGAATTGATTTTCTATAAGCATTTATGGAAAAAAACACAATTCATTTTACATTCTTACTTTGTTGTTTTGTTATAAATGTTAGTAGTCGAAACAGAACCTAAATGCAGAAGAGTGGAAAGAAGAGTTACATCTGACTTATGACGAGAGCAGTTTTATCTTGAGTGATGCGGCAGGTAACACCTTCCCAAGCATCCCAGGTAGTAGGAGCACAAGGGTCACCATTCCAACCCATTCTATCAGGAACACGAAGCGACTCCTTCAACGCCCTCATTGCAATCACTACCAAGACATGACAATTAAGAACAAATAAACTTTCCAAATGGGCATGGAGGAAAGAATGATAGAGAGTGCGCAACACCTTGGAGAGGGAGAGTGGAGGGATCCACAGGGACCAAGGCGTAATTCTCAACAGCACTAATGAGAGGAGCACCCACAGCTGGCACGAGCTTGAGCTTCAAAACGTTGGCGCTCAAGTTCTTGACAGTGTAATGCAAAGTGAAGGCAGAAAAAGCACCGACTTGCTTGTATATGTCAACCCTGGTGACGTTTTGGTCGTTCAAAAACACGTCGAAGACCCTCTCCCCTGCTTTCTTGACGCTGGAATCGATCTCCGCGAAGTGCAGCCACACCGTATAGTCCATCTTGGCGTCCACAACCAATTCGTACTCCAGCGTGCCCTCCGTGGTGACCGCCGACTGGTACAACTTCATCGGGAAGTAATTAGGCTCCACGTCGGCGCCGGAGACGCTGTTCTCCGTGGAAAGGAACCGTACCTCGTCGGAATCCTGCGGCACGGTGCGGAAGGCGGAGTCCGGCTGCCAGGAGCGGGCGAAGCGGTCGGCGTCGGCGGTGAAGGCGGCGCCCCAGTGGGAGACGGCGCCGCAGGAAATGCGGCCGTAGTTGACGAGGATGAGGTTGTCGGTGACGTTGTAGGCGGCGGGGGGGACCTGGAGGAGCTGGAGGGAGGAGACGAGGGGGGCGTCGGTGGCGAAGCCGTCGAAGCAGAGGTGGAGGGAGGAGGAGGCGTTGGGGAGGGAGGGGAAGAGGTCGGCGTAGGCGCCGCGGCGGGGGGGGGGGGGGGGGACGTGGAGGAGGGGGAGGGAGGAGACGGGGGGGGCGTCGGTGGCGAAGCCGTCGAAGCAGAGGTGGAGGGAGGAGGAGGCGTTGGGGAGGGAGGGGAAGAGGTCGGCGTAGGCGCCGCGGCGGGGGGGGGGGGGGGGGACGTGGAGGAGGGGGAGGGAGGAGACGGGGGGGGCGTCGGTGGCGAAGCCGTCGAAGCAGAGGTGGAGGGAGGAGGAGGCGTTGGGGAGGGAGGGGAAGAGGTCGGCGTAGGCGCCGCGGCGGGGGGGGGGGGGGGGGACGTGGAGGAGGGGGAGGGAGGAGACGGGGGGGGCGTCGGTGGCGAAGCCGTCGAAGCAGAGGTGGAGGGAGGAGGAGGCGTTGGGGAGGGAGGGGAAGAGGTCGGCGTAGGCGCCGCGGCGGGCGGCGGAGTCTGGCCAGGGGGAGCGCCAGGTGAAGAGGACGGTGGAGGCGAGGGCGACGTCGAAGGAGGGAGGGCGGGAGTTGGCGTCGTAGTTGTCGTAGACGGTGAAGGTGCGGAGGAGGTAGCGCGCGGGGGAGGGGAGGGAGGGGAAGGAGTAGCAGTTTTTCTTGCCGTAGGAGGAGGGGGGGAAGAAGCGGAGGGTTTTCTCGGAGGGGAGGGGGAAGCGGAGGGGCTCGGAGACAATGGCGGCGGTGCCTCCGGTGAAGAAGCGGTCGGAGAGCCACGTGGTGTTGAATGCGTCGGTGGTGTTGGTGGAAGTGCCGCAGTTGATGTGGTAGGACAAGTTACCGTAGGCGTAGGATGTACAAGTGGTGATGCTGAGGAGAAAGAAGAAGCAGAAGGGTAGCGGAGGAGTCATGGTGTTGGTTGGAGTTGGAGTTAGAGAGTGGGAGACATGCTATTGATAGTAGTGATAGTAAGTAACAATCATAAAGACACATATGGCGAGATTAGCGGGAGAATTCAAGGATAGTAATAGTAAAGGGCAATTTTGTCCTTCTTTATTAGCTTGTACAAGACGTGGTGCCCACTGCCCACTATGCATCATAGTCAACCCACCAGCACCTGCACCGCAACATCACACCATCACCATTTACATTTCTCTTCTCTTCGCATATGATATCTTTTTTCTCATGTGCAAAAAATCTAAATTATTTAACTAAAATTGTGTCACAACATTCAAATTTAGGCAAATCAACTAAATATGATAAAATTAGAGACTGTTGATCGATGAAGAGAGAGAGTTATTTCTTCAGGCAACCGTTCCTTACCAGATTTCAAGCAGATCTTATTGAACATATTTGGGAACGTTTCGGAAATAATAATGATAAAAATTAATTTCATATAATGTCTATGTATTTATTATTATTTTATTTTATTTTTAATATCTACTTATTGTATATTTTTTTCTCGTAATTTATTTTCTTTCATTGTAGTGCAATTATCCTTTTTAATAAAAATTTAAAATTGATTCATAAATGATTAGAAAAAAAATTTTAAAAGTTGAATTTCTTAAAGTTTCTTACCGTTGGAGTAAATTTGTATTTGAGTTGCTTAATACTGACATGGCATACTCGAGACCACTTTTTTCATTTTTCAATGCATGAAGCAATTCAAATGAGTTGCTTCCATTAGAAATGCCCTTAAAATTTAAGCTTAGATCAATTAAATTGATTTAACATACACGTTAAATACTTAATTACAATATTTCATCATTTATAATAATCTTATGTAACTCAAATATGATTATGTTTTATAAAGAATATTAGAATATATGTGATTTAATAAATCTCAATGCTATTAGTAAAACAGAACTTTCAAATTATTAAAACTGTGTTTGGATCAGCGTTGCACTCCTAGGAGTCCTTCTAAAAATATTTTCATAATAAAAGATATAAATTCTAAAAAATACGTTCACCATCCAAAACACATGTTCATATAAGATTATCCAAACATAAACCAAGAAATGAATATAAAAAAAAAAAAACGTGTAATCCTAATGAACTCTTTCGTTATTAGATAAGTGAAAAACAGAGCTTGGGCCAAACATGTATACTGAGAATAGCTCTAATTGGCCCAATTGGGTACACGGTCTTCACGTCCCAGACCCGGCCCAAATCGTGGAGCAATCCGAGTCCAAACCGAATATATTTTGTTTGATTGGTTCCTCTGAGGGATAAGAAAGATAGTGTTTTGGAAGAGGAAGGTGAAAATAAAAAATGGTGGTGAGAATTCGATTGGCGAGGCTTGGGTGCAGGAACCATCCATTCTATCGTGTCGTTGTTACTGATAGCAAAACAACAAGAGATGGCAAACAACTTGAAGTTTTAGGCTTCTACAATCCCGTCGCAGGTTGCTCTTTTTTTATGTCTATCACTTTCGAATCATAAACACATGCTTCCACTTCGTGCTAATGCTTCTATTACTTCTGTGCAGGCAAGGATGATGAGAAAAGAATGCGTCTCAAACTGGAAAGAGTCAAGTAAATAACTTTCTTTACCTTTGTCAATTGTCTTTCACAAACAAAACCAAACAAATGTTTCTGCTTGCATGAATCACATCCCCTATTCATCTTTATCAATTTAATAGGGCAGAACAGAAATCTCCATTTTTTTGATTCTCCTTATGTTCTTAGGTATTGGCTTTCTGTTGGAGCTCAGCCTTCAGAGCCTGTGGAGCGTCTTCTATTTCGAGCAGGTTTAGGACATCAAGTTTCACCATTGCATAAATTCCCTATTAATGGACATAGCCTCAACCAAGAGCAACCAACCAATGCTGCTCACGATGAAGACAATGGTGAACTGCACACTTCTCCTTCAAATTCCTTCTGTGCTATTTTGGAGTTTCTTTCTCTTATTTTTTTTACCGTTTATTCTAGGTATATCTCCAGAAGCTATATTTTCTATTGGCCTACAAGTTTGAAGAGAATAATAGCTACCATAGGTTTGGAGAAGGTGGGTGGTGTTGTCAGCATGTCACCCCAAGCAAGGGCAAGACTCTGATTAAATTTTTGCACCATGTTTAATACTGCCTAAAAGTAAATAGACAGGTTATCTTGCTTGTGAGAAAATGGTTAAATGTGTTTACTGGAAGTGCAACTTTTTGTATTGGGAAGATGTTAGTTCTGTAACAAAAGTAGCTTATTTGATTTTGGCTTATGTACGCAGGCAGGTCTGACTTTGTTGTCAACACACCAGTTGATTTTTATGCTTCTGCAATTATTTTTCATTCTGGGGATTGATTTTGAAATATTAACTGGGGATTGTTCTGCTCATCCTTTATTTTCCATTGGAGTTCTTGTCGAGTTTGCAATAGGGTTTGATGTAAGAAGTGTTATTCATGTTTTGAAGCCATGCACTTTTCATGCTTCATCTAAAAATATGAGATTACTGGACCTTCAGAATAGTGGTTTATACATTAACCTCGTCCAATGTGTCATAGAACTAAGGCATCTACTTTCATAAAACCACCTTGCATGCCCTTTTTGTATAATTGTGTGATATGCTTTGATCCTCAGTATTAGTTTTGCTTTAAGATGTGATTAGAGAAAAAATGCTAATGATCTAGCTCGGTCATAATACCAAGTAACTGGTTTGTGAAATTGTGATAACAATTCAACTTTAGGTTTGTTTACCTGAGGCTGCTGGAAAGTTGAACCTGACATTTATATAGCCATGATTCTCTATTCTTTCTAGAACTTGTACGTTTGTTTTTATGCTTGATAATTGTGATGCTTTATGAAGTTGCAAATATTACCAAAGGCTTCCTAGAATTTGCAAAACTCTTGATGTAGACAAAAGCATTTTCTTTACGTACTTTATAGGATATATGAATGTGTGGCTTGTTGTAGGACCCTAAACACACTCAAATAAAATCAGACTATGTTTCAAGTAAAACTATTCGGGATTCTACAATTTGTTCTTTCTTATGAGTCTAGGATTTGTTTGTCAAGTTCATGGTGTAGTGTCATAAAAATATACAGTATTGCATAACAAATAAAAAAGTTTTGCTAACTCTAAGAGGATAAATCATTCTCCACGCAGTTGAGTAAGTAGAGGACTCTATTGCTCATTCTGACTCGAGATCATCTAGCTACTCTTGATAGCTGAGAGAAGAGTGGAGGGAGTTTGGAGAGTGTGACCAAATTCAGTCAAAGGGAGAGTTAAATTCTGAGTGGGGGAAAGGGAGGAAAAATAAATTGCTCTATTTGAGTGGAAAAAGCATCAGTAGGGGAGGGTTGAAGGTGAAAGGAGATGAAAATAGCAGACAGAGTTCTAAGTGGTCACTGATGTGGTTGGTATTTGTCTCAGAAGAGCGCCAGTGTATCATACTTAATGGTAAAGCCTTTACCGTAAATTTGTATATACAAACCGACTATTTTCCTCTATGGGAATACCTTTGTTAAATCGTTGGAGTTAGACATGGTAAACCATACGAATTTGTGGCAAAGAACTGAAAGAAGTGTATATATGTCTGCATGCAAAATAGACCATCCAATATATGACAACATTCCTTTATGTGATAACTGATAACAGATTGCTACACTATATATATGTCTGCATGCAAAGTAGGCCATCCAAGAGATGACATGAAAACATTTTAGCATCTAATCCAACGGGTGTGACCCAAGTTTGACTGAATTTGGTCACAGAAACAAGAAATTTTACGATATTAAGGGCTCATCATTCTATTTCATTTATTTTGCATGTTTCAATTGTTTGGATTTATTCCCTAGCTAGCAATAAATATCATAAAAAGCCAATTCCTTATAGTTCAGCTGAAAAATGGGGACACTTGATCTATATACTAATTTTTCCCCCACATACCTTAGCAAATAACAACGCAGAGTTCGGTATGTGTAGAAATTCAAATTCAATTTTGGAATCTAAGGACCAACATACAATACATTCAGTTCTACCCAAAATGATGTTTATACTCCCCCTCCCCCGAAGAAAAGAGGACCAGCGAAAGCAACAGTGCAAAGCTTCTCATTAAGAAAGGACTGACACTGCCATACTATGTTGCCATGTAGTTGATAAGAGTATGTTCCCATCAGAATAGCAATAAAAAAAATAGATTTAGTAATTTCGGATGCATATTTCAAAATTTCTGAGGACCCTGATTCCGTTGGTGTGAATTTGATTTTGCTTTTCACTGATTTGGCTCGGGGTTGGGTGGACAGAAATGATGATGGGTATGAAAGCAGAAAATGCCTTAATATAAGAGACAACTCCATGCTAATCACCAAGTTCCCTGCATAAAGATAGAATTAGAAGTTACGCTTTTCTAGGACAACGGGAAAACTATATATACATAATACATTAATTAATTTGTCATACATGAAATACTATACTGCCTCACAAGTAACAATCAATCTGGTCAAGGCAAGGTTTTTTTATATACTTGGCATTTAGATAAAGGAAAGGGTCAACCAATATAGTACAGCGTCAAACAGAGCTTTCCTTAGTAGAAATTTTATCTTCAGGTATCAGCAGGGACAGCAATAGAAGGAAGGACTACTTAGAATCCCAACATTCTAATAAATGGACTCGGGAAATAAACAAGGGAAAGTCTATGAAGAGCTTGATTGTACAAATGATAGCCCCTGTTAATACGATCATGGTGTTGGGCTTTTATGCAATGCAAATGGGGACAGATGCCTGCTGTGATTACTTATTGCGGATATGGAAGAAATCACATAAACTTACGGCGATTAATGTATAAGGGTGAAATATTAACCAGTATTGAGATCAGAGGCAAAGGTGTCTATTACTAAAAAGATAAGGATGAGGATCTCTGGTTGCACAAAAGATAAATCCACATTAAACTAGGAACTGAAAAATGAGAATCAAAATAAGGGAAAAGTTAAATTAAATGATCAAGTGCTTCTAATGGGAATTATTCCATGACCCAGCTAAGTTCCATGGTGAAAAGGTTAAAAACAACTTTATGGATAAAAATGCATCATCACACACAGATAAGTAAACTGGCCCATAGAAGTTAATGCATCTTAGAGATGATATTATAGTGCAGAGCTATAATTTTATTGCTGCACTCAATTGCTTAAGCTACTACAACTCTTTGCCTTGCAAAGTACAAACTTGCTGATTAAAAGTCACACTGCCCTGGATAAGGAAAATGGTAGGAAACTGAAATTGTAAACTCAATATCCTTTCTCATACTTGCACATGAATGATAAACTGTATATCAAATCATGTTGGCATAAAGGTACATGCAATCCATGATTCATAGAATCATATTTCATGTTCAACACGGACGACAACCAAGTTGTAAATAATCCTATTTTATGTGAACGTTCTTGGTCCTTGACTATTATTGTCAAGTCTCAAGTTGTTAATTTGCGCATGGATTTTAAGCAGAACCCAAGTTCGTTTAGTGAGTTTGTCATTAACAATGAAAAGGAACTATTCCATTTTCACAAATAGATTATTTTTAGTGCGCTTGTCATTTCCTTGCTATTTGATAAATATTATTTTACTTTCCACTATAGGCTAACCTATAAGAGAGTATACCATCTTATTCAATTTCAAATTATTTTTAAAATTATTATTATTAAGTGTAATGATTTATCGTGGTTCCTACATTTAATAGTTTAACTACTATTAACAATTGAAAATAAAAAGACAGCTACCTTCCTACATTTAATAGTTTAACTACTATTAACAATTGAAAATAAAAAGACAGCTACCTAGGATTCACATTCATACATTACCTGGATGCACATGTCATAAGGTATATATAGATACAAATAACATTATATCAACTATTAAATCATAAATAGCATATATATATATAATAACTATATAGTATTCCAGTATAAAAGTATGAAAGAAATCATAATTATTGGTCAAATAACATATTGCACCAATTATACAAGGATAACTTTAAAAAGTCTACACCGTCATTCATCAACATGACCTCAAAATAGATTTTAACAATAGCCTAATCATACTCTACTCACATATCAAATATGACAATTGCAATCTAATTACATGAAAAATGCAAGAATAAGTTAGAGTTTAAAGGAAATCAACATAAATAACTCAACTTAATTCATCATAATATCAACTTACAATTTTCAACACAATATAATATATTATAAATTTGAACACAACATCAACACCTCAATTTATAACACTATCAAAATATATTTAAAGAAATTTTAGATATTATTCTTACTATATTTTAATTCTTTATATTTACCGTATCTTATTATTATTACTACAATAACAATTCCACGGTTACAGGAATTTGTTCCCTAAAATACTTTGTCCTTATATATATATATATATAATGATTAAAATAATAATATATATTATTTCTTCTATGATATCAGAGTTCGTATCCTTGGGAGCCTCTAATTGATCTGATTTATTTGTTTTTATTTGAACACAATTACTTGTTTGTATCATTAAAAAATTATTTTTTATTTGATTTTGTGATATTTGCGGACTCATTTCTTTTTTAAACTTTGTGAACCTGACAAACCACAGTATCAACACAGTCGTTGTAGTATAGTGGTAAGTATTTCCGCCTGTCACGCGGACGACCCGGGTTCGATCCCCGGCAACGGCGATTTTTTTTCATTTTTTTTCATTTTGTTTTCTGTGGATGTTAGAGTACAGTGATTGCGTTGTGGTTTGGTTATTTTAAGTACTAGAATGAACCACCCATGGTTAACTATAACCTAAATAGCTCCCTTTCTCGTAACAATTAATGATGTTATGATCTTTTGTTGCTGATAATGGTTTTCATGTTTCAAACAGATGAATTTACCTGACAGATTCTTTATCTTTGGTGCTGGCATAATATTTCTCAGAAGAATAGAAGTGCCCATGAATCATTTTTATATATAAGAACCTTAAATGAGAGTGTGAATGTGGCTCTACCAACACAGAAAAAAGCCTGTGTAGCAGCGGATCCCCACGGAGGAATAAAGATTGTAAATAACTATGGTACACGTGAAAACTTTGACTATATTTTGGATATCAAAATTAATTATCTTGATGAGATAGAACACCTTTTAATTTGAAAAGCAAAACTAAACCAAGTCTGATGGAGATGTAAATGGAATCTTTTGACCGCACGTGTAATCCTGCTTTATGTAAGATGTGTTGAGACTTGAGAAGTGTTGAATGATGGAAATCTTGATAAATAACATGACATTATCTTAGAATGCCACTTTTTTATTGTTCCTTTTGGCCAGCTGTTATCCCATTATGAATCAAAACTCATTGTTGCCTTTTAGACTTTAGAGAGAACGAAAAGACCTTGTAACTTCTCACTTTAAATTTTTTAATTTCTTATTTCATTCGTACTTGACTGTGTGAATTACGGTAACTTCCAGAGATTTTTCAATGGATGACTATTTTA